TTATAACTCGAGTTATAACTCGGCTAGTTTTAACTCCCACACTGATTGATTAACAAGTTTAGCAGCTGATGTTCGTTTTTCATTATTAATCATTGATATTGAATCGAATTCATCATTCATTTTATTTACTAAAATATCTTGTTGTTCATTAGTTTCAATAAATCAACGTTGGTATGTTGAATAAGCTATTGTTTTAGAAAAAAAAACAAGTGAAAAAAATTCTTGTTTTTTTTCTCAATATTTACCTGTTTTTAAGGCTTCACTAACACAAGTTTTTTCTATAGATCCAATTTGAATTGAAATTAATAATTGATCAAAATCAAATAAATTTGAGTATTTAAGTATAATTTCATGTGTTTCCAATGAACTTGATACAACATTATGATCATTATGTTCTAAACAAATATAACATACCATATCAACACACTAAAAAAAGATTTACATTGAAATTAAAATCATTCATTATTTGTTGAATACTGATTGAAAGATGTTGTTGATTTGTATCAATATTTTTACTTCTATTTATTGATTGTTGATTATTTCTTGATTATGATTGAAATTCTTAGATATTTAAACCAAGTAATTGAGGGTCGGGGTGTGTCAGAGATGTCCATCGTGGCTCAAAATCTGCCGCTGCCGCGACGCGCCTTAAAAAAAAACTTGCCGCTACCGCGCCGCTGCCGCACCGGTATTCGAAAAAATGTTTTGATTTTCAACGCTCTGAGTGGTTTGAAATAGAACTGATGCCGCTAATCGATCAGATTCGCTAAGTCTTACAGTATAGCATACATAAACATGTAGATTCTGTGCAAATTCATGAATTTTTGAAATTTTTTCCTAAAAAGCTGCCGCCGCCGCGCCGCTGCCGCGACGGCAAAATAACAATCTCTCCCGCGTCGCCACCGCCACGGCGGCAGCGGCAGCGGCGCGATGGACATCTCTGGGATGGGTAGGGATAAGCAATACAAACACTCACACCCACCTCTTGAAAATGCCTGAGTCTTCTTAAAGCACATTCGCCATACTTTCTTCGGATGCATCTAACGAAGTTTGAGTGCTAAATAGAGTTTTTCATACATCGAACGATAAAATAAAAAATATAAAATTTTTCATTTACTTATTTTGAAGCTTTCAACACTACTTCTATAATTATCAATTTGAAAAAAGAATTTTATGACAGAAAATATTTATATATATTAGAATACAGTTGAAAACCTAATGACTTATCATACCTCAAATTTACGCATATGCAAATATCAGTGTATATTTTATCATTGTAACAACACGAAACGCAAAGGTAAGGTAAAAAAAAGAAGAGGTAGAATATATGAAAAACGAAACGCATGTGATGACGCGCACATGGATGAAAAACAAAATAGTCTGCGCGATGAAAAAGTCATGCTTCATTGATTCATGTAAATATACGTTTGTGGGAAAAAACCAAGTAATTTTACCAATGATAAATACAGAATAAAATCGATTGCAAGCACACAAAACAAAATTTGCTATACTCCAACATTACATAGTACGTAAGTGTATTTAGTTTCTAACATTATTAGACTAGTAAGAAAATTAAAGTGAAAAGTAAAGAGTAGCTACACACAAAAAAAATGACGGTACATAAACATGTGTTATTTTTATGTTTATAAAGTAGTTTTAAGAGAACTTCGCTTGATAATACTCAGAACATGCAATCGATTGTCTTGGTTGCAGAATCTTGTATGTATAAAACAATCTTATTGTAAAACATATTAAACAGAGTAACTGTTTGTGTGCATACATTTCAACACGAATACCAGCCATGAAAGGCACAGTTTTTACTTTTAGAAATACTCTTTTTCTGGTCTACCGACTAATCTGGACTGATTAGATAGAGAAACGGGTTAGATATGTCGAAGTTTGAGGACATTCTGGACTGGTTCAGATATAGCTGCAGGACTTTTCTTGTCAGTATAACTAGTCACGACAGGTATTTTCGATATTTCGCACTAGTCATGTCATCCGTCCTCAGCGACTATTTCTTTCCTTAGCCATTCTTCTTTATTTATGGTTCGATGTATAGAGACTTGATCCGTCCGTTATCGTCATTTTGTCAGTAACACTCTTGAAACAAAAATGATCCAGATAGTAGAGGTCCTTGAAGTCTGTACCCATATGTCAGAAAAAGAATGATGTTAACCAACAAAAAATTTTACAATTATAAATATAGGGGACGACGTTTCACTGATTATATTCATTCGTTCAATTACAATGAGCAAACAAAAATCGACAACAACTGTTATCAGTGGTGCAGCAGCGATGCCTAGCACCACCACTATTACCAACGCGAACAATCGTGCTGCTGTTGTGTTGTCTCGACCTATGCGTCGGGTTCTTCAAAATTTCCGACTTCTATGGCTTGATGCCAAGTTGGATGAATCCAAAGACGATTTCAAGAAATCGTTTCGACGTTTGCGACGTGTTGTAGCAAGCATCGAAACATTTACAGATGCTCAAGAATGCATTGACTTTCTCAGTGCCATTACAAATGAAAAGGTATTTATGATTGTGTCAGGCTCACTTGGACAAAAAATAGTAACAGATATTGAATCCATGTCACAATTAGAATCTGTGTATGTTTTTTGTCGCAGTCAATCTCATCATGAGCAATGGGCCAATAAAGTACCAAAGATTAAAGGCGTATACACAAAAATCAAATCGATCTGTAAGGTCTTGCAAATCGATCGTGAAAATTGTGATCGATCTATGATCTCAATCAGTTATAATGGCATTGATGCTTTATTTATGTATACACAATTATTAAAAGAAGCACTTTTAGAAATTGAAGATGACGATACAAAATCTATTAAAGAACTTGCCGAATACTGTCTTCTTCAAGATGATATTGTTGAAAGTGAAATTAGGAAGGTCGAAAAAGAATACCGTGACCACACACCAATATGGTGGTATACGGCACCATTTTTTATATACTCGATGCTCAATCGAGGCCTTCGCCTCATGGATATCGACATCATTTTAAAAATGGGCTTTTTTATTCGACATCTACACAATCATATTGCACAATTACATCGCGAGCAACAAGATAACGTGCCAACGATATTTCAAGTCTTTCGTGGACAAGGTTTGTCCATTGAAGACTTTGAAAAAATGAAAAAAACCAAAGGAGGACTTATGTCCTTTAATAATTTCTTATCAACAAGTCGCAATCGCAAGATTTCCCTGGAAAACTTTGCACGGCCAGCTACACAGAATCCTAATTCAGTTGGCATACTTTTCATTATGAACATCAATACGGCTATTTGCACAAAATCATCAATACCATTTGCTGAAGTAAGCAAAGTTGGTTACTACAAAGATAAAGAGGAAGAAATACTTTTTACAGCACATACAATTTTTCGTATCGATCGCATTGAACGAATTGAAAATAAACATACCGATCGCTTATGGCAAGTTAATCTCACCATCGTGGGTAATCAAGATGATGACTTTAACACACTCACAGCATATCTGCGAGAAGAGTCCACTTGGGCAACAGGATGGGCTCGATTTGGTCACATACTTATTAAACTTGGTGAGCCTGCAAAAGCAGAACAACTCTATAGAATCCTCCTTGAAAAGTCATCTTCTGATAAAGATCAGGCGAACTACAGTTTACAACTCGGTTCGGTGTATTATAATATGGGCGAGTACTCGAAAGCACTTTCATCGTACGAACGATCACTTGAAATCAAGAAAATAGCTCTCCCTCCGAATCATCCCGACTTGGCTACTTCCTACAACAACATCGGCGAAGTGTATAGAAACATGGGCGAGTATTCGAAAGCACTTTCATCGTACGAGCGATCACTTGAAATCCAGAAAATAGCTCTCCCTCCGAATCATCCCGACTTGGCTTCTTCCTACAACAACATCGGTGTCGTGTATTATAACATGGGCGAGTACTCGAAAGCACTTTCATCGTACGAACGATCACTTGAAATCCAGAAAATAGCTCTCCCTCCGAATCATCCCGGCTTGGCTCGTTCCTATGGGAACATCGGTAATGTGTATGGAAACATGGGCGAGTACTCGAAAGCCCTTTCATCATACGAACGATCACTTGAAATCCAGAAAATAGCTCTCCCTCCGAATCATCCCGACTTGGCTACTTCCTACAACAACATCGGTTCGGCGTATTATAACATGGGCGAGTACTCGAAAGCACTTTCATCGCACGAAAGATCACTTGAAATCCAGAAAATAGCTCTCCCTCAGAATCATCCCGACTTGGCTTCTTCCTACAACAACATCGGTAATGTGTATCAGAACATGGGCGAGTACTCAAAAGCACTTTCATCGTATGAACGATCACTTGAAATCAAGAAAATAGCTCTTCCTCAGAATCATCCAAAACTGGCTTCTTCCTACGGCAACATCGGTATGATGTATGAGAAAATGGGCAACTATTCAAAAGCGCTTCCATTTCTCGAACGAACACGCGATATCTTCAAAAACGCTCTCCCTCCAACTCATCCGAATGTTGCGAAATCCGAAAGAGATGTTGAAAATGTAAAAAAGAAAATGTAGTTGTCTTTTTTCGTTTTTAAAGAGAAAATAAAATGCCCTTCTTGAACCCAAGGCTCGCTGAAGCGTAGCAGCTGCAAAAGGGTGTGGGTGTGAGTGGGTGTGGGTTTGGGTGTGTGTGGCGGTTGTGGGTGCGGGCGGGGGTGGGGGTGTTGGCGTGGGTGTCGGTGTCGGTGTGGATGTGGGTGTTGGTGTGAGTCTGGGCGGTGTGGGTGTATGTGAGTGTAGATGAAGGCATATATTCACCCACAAACCCCACACCCACAGCGACATCCACACTCATACCCACACCGACATCCACACACCCACACCCACACCCACACTCCACACCCCACACCCACACCCAATGACAATTGAACTCATTGATATGACATAAATTAACGTGAGGAAGAGATGAGAATTTATTGAAGAAAATTTCACAAATTAATTGATGTGGTAGAGTAAATTTAGATCCTATAAATTAGTTCATGTAAATTAGAAAATTGATTTAAGTCACAATAGCTGTATATCTGAATAATCAATCGATTGACGTAAGATGCATATAATTTCATTAGCTCAGGACCAACTTCATTATGCAAAATGAGACATAGATTCCGACAGAATTGAAAAATATTGTTCGGTTGTGAATTTAATCCCCATAATACTTTATATAAATGTTGAATGTCGATTAGACTAAATAAATAGTAAAATAACTCGTTGGAAACGTCTTCAAAAATGGTAAACACCTAAAATATATCGAAAAAAAAGTGAAAATATTTTTATGTTTAGGAAAATGATAAATAGACGTTTTAAAATGTTTTCATGTTTTTTCATGAAATTGCTTCGGATTCATTCTAGCGAATTGAAAACAATTTTCTAAAAAGACAAGCATTGAACAAGCGGACTTATATGGTTAGTGATGGAAAAGCCATTCACGTATGCATCTATAACTATGAATTTGGCATTAACCCTACGCTCTATTTTTATTGTTATCAATAATAATAATTAAATGTATATTTACATTTCTTTTGTTTTTGTTTTATTCATAGAAATAACTAAATATCATACTCTTTTTCGTATAAAATAAAAGTTTGAAATCCAAATTATGACTATGAAACTGTCTACCAGATGTTGATTAGCTTCGATGCAACTTTCATTTCGAAGTTTTCATTTTAAAAGTCTTAGTCCTTTATTGATAATTTTTTCTAGTTGTTACTGATAGTCTCGAATATATTGCAAAAGTATTAGTTTTCTGGCTCATTCTATTATCATCATTCGCATATTGAACAATTATATGATTTTGTCTGGTATCGTGTTCTAGTGTCAACAATAAATAAATATTCTATTAGAATATCTATATATTAATTGTTTATATACAAAATAGAATAATCCAAGTTTCATTTTTTTTCTTATGCAACTATACAGTCGACTTTGTTATAAATAAATAGGAATGTTATAAAATAATCAATTCAAAGATGTATATTTTAGATGATTTTTGTGATGATAACATGATAGTTGAATCTAATGATGATGCAGAGTGGTCATTGGTAAATTCCAGACTAGAATTTGTGTTTGAATCCAAAACATTTAATACTTTTCTAGTAAGATAGTATATTTAATTGTTCACTTTAACAAAGTTCTAATTATTTGTCTAAGAAGTATATTGAACGATTCAGATTTCAATTAACTCAGTCGATACAGAAAACTTTAATTTTCAGATTCTTTGTTCGTGCTTTTTAATCAAGTTTGTCACTTAAATAAACTCTAAGAAAAAATTGATTTTTCTCACTATAATGCTCTTCAATCCATGCTTGTATAATTTCAGGTGGATCAGTTCTCCATTCAGACATTCGTTCAATTTTACCTCGATTATTACAATATTCAACCATGTTACTGAATTCTTTGACATCGGCTCTTGCACCTGCTGGTTTAGCTTTTAGAGCTACACGTTTTATCCAGAGGAACCATAATATAATGCCATGCTGCTCTTCCTTTATTTTTGCCACGAATGATGAAAAGGGAGACAGTGAGTGTTTGGTCTGTTATAATTACTTTAGGCCAATCTTCATAGCAGAGATCCGAGACTCGCCGAGTTTCCCCGCCTCGCCTCGCCTCGCCTCCTGGCGAGGCGAGGCGAGGCGGCATTTTTCGCACCGAGGTGAGTACGAGTTGATTTTGTGACTCGCCGAGTCGACTCGCCTACTTACAATGTAAGTTTTGGAAAATAAATGGTAAATTTCTAACGACACCGCTCGATTTTATTGCAGATCTTTTTAAGCGTTTCTATTAGTGAAGTTTAACTAATAGCGGTAATAAATGAGTAATAGATGCGTGGACATATATTTATCTCTTCAGACTAGTCGCGCGATTTTATTCATGTAATTCCTAGTGTGAGTTTAGCAGTGGAGCTTGGCTATAGTATGATACTTCAATAATTTAGAGTATAGAATCAATTATTCATACCATTATGTGTTCGATAAACTCTTGTTCTTCTTCCAGGAACATAATCGATGTTTCACAAGAGACTTATTCAGATTCTCTCATTGTTGGTCAAATGCTATTTAATACTTCTTAAATATCGTTTAAAAAGATTTACAATTTGCTCATGCGTAAAGATAAAGCTCAAATCTTTATCGAAAATACGAAGAAACATATTGCGAGCTGCTGGAATCAATTTAGGTTTCAAGCTGTTACTGATGATGAAGGTGCTGTGAAGACAAATTTACACTTCTTTGTCTTGCGTAAACCTTTCAATATCACATACAACTTAATCACGTTATTTTTGATAGTTTCGTTGACTTTGCTCTATTTATACAAAAAACTTGAATGATTTTTATTTTGTATGTTTGGAATGACCACATATTTTTCTATCGATCTAAATAGATTATATTTTATTTTCATTTTGTTGAAATTGAGGATACATTCCGTAAACCATCCAATACAAATTTTTTTCATGGAATAAGTTTCAGACCATATGTGGGGTGTTTTCGTCGAAGGCTATTATTCACTGTGCAACTGGAACTCTTTACTTTTAGCTATAATAATAGGCCATTCTTTCTTCTATACGACTGCAGTTTTTTAATGGGATTATTCCTTGTTTTCATTAAAAATCTTCACCGGTTTGTTGAGAATTTTTTTTACGAATTCTCTTATACATTGCTTCCCACTGTTTTTCAAATAAGTTTTGGTTGTTTTAAAATTTAACTTTCATCTGTGGCTTAAAGCTGAATATACAGTGTCGATTCATATAATTTTAGGCAGATTTTAGCTCAGTCGAGGAAGTGATTTTTGGCAAAATAATATAAATTTGTTTTTCATGAATATAAAAATGTACCAAATTTTAGCATTAAAGGCTAATTTTCTACTCGACTTCGAGTCAGTTCTATTCAATGCTTTTTTATATGATTAAGCTGAATAGCAGTCTACCATCTAATTCAATATTGAACCATAATAACATGGATTTAACGGAAATACGTGCGTGCAAAAGTTTTGATTCAGTGATTCTTAGAATTGATCAAATTCTTCAACGAGACGTGAATAAAGTATAGCAAAAGCCACATTGATCGATAGAATGGCTCACGCTTTATCCAAATATATCAAAATTAGAAACACCTAAGGCTTTATAAAAATAGAAAAAAGGAAGCAAAGCTATGAAAAATAAGGTAAATGTACTGTATGCTTATAATTGTCATAGCACTTTATAGATGAACAAACATAATCGTTGAAGTTCACCAATTAGATTTTAAAAAAATTTGATACAATATCCTCGTCGTCTTTCAGACAAAAATAAAAATTTCTTTCATTTGTAATCGCCCAGGATCGATTAAACCAAACGAAGAGGAACATAAAAACTTTAAAAAATCTTCTTGTAGAATGAGTTTCTGTGAATACAAGGATGTTCTCGAATGTCGATGATTATGTACTTAGATTTCTTGTTTAAGAATGTATTTCTTTGGATATTGTATAGCCTTTTCACCATTATTCAACTTTTTTTATTCTCTTTTATTTTTCCATGGAAGCAAGTGTGCACAAATAAAATGATAGTGACTGCTAAGGGTAGTTGAGAAATTGCCTGAAAAGGTCATTTTTATGATAGATGCTAGGCGAGACGAGGCGAGGCGAGGCGAGTCAAAGGCTGAGAAGGCGAGGCGAGGCGAGGCGGCGATGAGCAACTCGCCAGCATGGCGAGGCGGTGGCGAGTCGTTTTTTTGACTGACTCGCGGATCTCTGCTTCATAGTTTATCAATAACGTCTGGTAGAATATAGTAAAAATAAATTAAGATGTTCGATTGATAAATGAGTAAAATCAAATGTTTTTGTTTTCTGCGGATTTTAATCATATTATCATGAATGCTATTGTTCCAGAGTTTACAATGTTTGAAGATAAGATCGAAAATCATTACTAAACATTTTATTAATTGAAGTTTTGTTTCTAAGTTACATTTTCTCAGTTCAGATTTCTAAATGAGAGCTTTACCTGTAATTTTTTGTGAAATTTTGCCATCAAATGAAATAAAAGAAATCAAAATGATAAATGTCAAATTAATGAAAATTTTTCTGCAAATTTTATTATAAAATCTCTTTGCTATGAGTAATCAATTGATGAATAAGAAATATTATTGTATAAGAGTAAAATGACTTATTATCTGAGATAAGAAGACTGTATTATCAATATCTCTTAATTTGTCTACCGATTCTGTCAATAGATACTTATATCATTAACAATGATAAGTTCCTCTTTTATTTGTCAACTTATCTCATGAAAAGTTCAATGAAGAAAACAATAAATAGTAATGCTAATGTTGTATGGAGTGGATGGTACTTTTTTTTTGTTTCAATTATAAAGAAATGTAAAACGACTCTATTTGTTTTTAATCTTGATATCTTTCAATGGTAGTAATTTCACTTAACAAAAGACACAAATTCTTATCAAGTTATTTATTTCAAGATCATCTTATCCAACACCAGATGAAAAAATGCAAATGATACCTAGTTTATGCATTTAATAATTATATCTCTGCTAATGAATAGATCGTTAAGAAAAGAAGATCTTAAAATTTATACGAATTCATCAAACATAAAGTCGTGAAATTCATTTATTATTTGTTACTATTGTTTTGTCTTCAACAAACTTGTTACTAGTCAAAAAAGGCAATCTCATATTTTCTAATGTGATCGGTCAATTTTATCTTTCTCATAGTATTATGAAGTCAAGGTGTGAGTGAATGTAGATAAGGAATAGAACGTCGATACCGTCACATATACACATGAGAATATCTCTTATTTCCTTTAATGATTAAAAAAGAATTTCTTGTTTCAGATTCATGAAATAATCCTTCACGTGTCAAGTACTTTCAATAAATAAGGGTGGGTATGGATGTTTAAGTGAATCTTCTTTTCATATCTATACCTCCAGCAAAACCCTACTCCAGAATTCAAGTAAAAGAAAGATGACAAAGAGTGAAAATTATTTATCTGTTGTTACAAATAGTTAAATATTTTTAGTTAGCGTATCAAGACTTGGAAGCATTAATACTTTTCAGATAGAATTCATCTGTTTGGTTGCCAATAGTCCAGTGTCCTTTAATCTTAAATCCTCCCAAGTTATCGCAATAGAGATCTCCATTGTATGCAACAGCATGTTTTCCAACGTATTGCTTTGTGAAGGAAATCTTTCCTTCGTTATCATAATTTCCAGCCATTGTAAAAGGTCCAATTTTATCGTTTCCTTGACCTAAAACTCTTCCTTCTATTAAGCTAAAGAAATCAAAGAACATATCAAAAGCTTGTTGATATTGATAATATTTTCCTTCTACAGCACCACCTTCAAACCTTGTAATGACTTGAGATCGATGAGATTCTTCAGTTTTTTTCTCTTGAAGAGCTCGATTAATTCTTAGTACAAGAGTATCGATACTGGAGTTGAATTGATTATCATCTTGCAAATGGATTGGATTTAACGAAGTTATTATCATTCCTAACCATGTGTTTTGCAATCCGTTATCATTCTCAAGAAGTATAGGAAGAATATTCTTCTTTAATTGAGAAGCATAAGTAAATTCTTTTTGACAATTAATGCTTTTACTATAAGCAACAGTAGCGAAACTAACAATCATCGCAGCACCTTCAACGCCATTAGCCATAGCAGAATTAATATTTCCTTTCATATCTCCGGCAATATCAAACCAAGTAGGAATATTTCTTTGTTTGAGCATATTTGCTACTCGCTTAACCAGCTCTTGATTCTTCCATTCGTAACTTAACATTATATGCATACTTTGACGTCCTAATGATTGATTACGCAAAATTTCTAGATGAAAACTATCAGATGAGTCATTTAGAACCCATTTCCCATCAAGAAAGAATCGAAATTTGTTGTGAGTTATAATTCCAGAATATTGAACATCGTGTTTTCCGATATAATGCTTTTTAAACTGGAATTCAAAATCTTTTTTATTCGATAAGCAAGTATATTTCCCATTGATTACAAAGCCACCGACTATATCATCTCCTTGACCAGCAATATATCCATTTACCATAGCAAACATATCAAATCTCATATCAAACTTATTTCCCCACTGAACATAATAACCTTCAGCAAGAGTTCCATCAACAAGAGTATCAATACGTTGTTCTTCATCTAAAGAATCTCTGATATATGGCTGCAATTGTCTTATAAGATTCTCAATATTTTTCTCAATGTCATTCACATTTGTTATCTTTGTCCATAATGCACCAGCACAAATGACACCAAGCCAACCACTTTGTGAATAATGATCTTGCGCTTTTACAGGAATTATAGGAATACCAGCTTCATCAACATAAGAAAGAACATACTTTGAAATATTAGATGTTTCATAGGCTTCACTCATTAATGGTACAACAACTCTTGCTTCTTCAGTTGCTATTTTTATCATCTCATGCATTCGTAATGGCGGACAAACCACTGGAATACCTTTAGTAGTTAATCGTTCAGCTATCTTTTGAGCTAAATCATATTGACATGGACAATAGGAAATCATAACTTTGTTTCCTAGTCTTCGTGACGCTTTTGGTGATGATACTTTTTCCATTTCTTTTGTATATACCTCTGGAAGAGTCAGACGGATGAAAAAACTATCATGCATGTCGCCTATTGCCCATTGTCCTTCTATCATACATGTTATTCCTTTGAAAGAAATATTTCCTCGATATATAACGGAATGTTTTCCAACATATTGCTTATTCATATTGATATCACCACAGTCATCTTTAAGATTGTATTGACCAGCAAGAGTAAAAGCTCCAATGTCATCATCTCCCTGACCAAATACTCTGCCTTGTTCCAAACCAAAAAACTAATGTAAATATATAATTCATATGTTAATATATCTTTAAATTCAACTCATTAATTACCTCAAATTCCATTGGAAATTCTTGACCAAACTGATAATAACTAGCGACCACATCTCCTGATCTAGTTCCACCATGAAATAGATGCTTTGTTATTGGCTGTGGTTCATTCTTTTCATCTTTTTCAAGAACAAGATCACTAGTTTTGATTTTCATAGAAATTAAGGATTTCATAACTTCATTAGAATCACTTGAACAACTCTTTGTCGGAGCTAAAATAGCACCTAACCAATCTGTAGGTTGAAAATCTTCAGAAATCTTAATATTTAGAATCGCAGTTTTAGTTTGATCAGCATAATTCAATAGTTTTGATCCAGTTCTTGACATTTGTAATGAGCGAGATGGAAAAACTAGAACCACAGCAGCATTTTCAATACCATTTGCAATTCCAATATTGATGTCTTCATTTTCTTTAGGATGGTAAACTCTCAATCGTTGCTGAATGAAATAGTTCTTCAGTTTTTCAGTCGCTCTTATACCAGATTCATCTTTTTCTGCATAGGCAAAGAATATATGCTTCTTCTTTTGCTGAGACGGTATTACTGTTTCTGGCGTTTTCTGCAAAACTAAACAAAAAAAACAGATCTTTCAGTAGAGTCACAAGTCTTTCACCACGAGGTGTGAATGTGGGTGCGAACATGAGTATCCTATTCGATTCACTCACAACTACATTCTCCAATCCTTCTCGTTATCCTAACTAATGTGTATCACTTCAGAATCCCATGACTCGTGAGATAGTAAGGAGAAGTCATAATTTTTTTTCGAATATCTATACTGTTCACCGTATATTATTTGGTTCTCTCTAAGCACATTTGATTTTCAGAAAATCATTTGATTTCATGAAGAGTCGTTTATAACACCCTATGAATTTGGTTTCCTTAATGATAGTTCGAGATACTTCGATGTTCTTTGGTCTGCTTCGGTTAATTTCAATTATTTTTGAAGTGATGCCTAATAAAGTCAAAGTTTGCTGGTTCTTTCTTATCGAATCATTATGGACTGTTAAGCCTCTGGTAATTTAATTACTAGAGTAAAAAGCACACAAATCTATTTTACATTTTTTTTATCTGTCTGTTTGGATACACTCTCGTATATTGTACAGATCACACCTTTGTATTTCATAAGTACGAAAGTACTCAGAAGTATTTAGAAGTACCGAGAAGTACAAAGAAGTACAGAAGCACAGTTATTGTCGTTTGTCTATGAAAATCACTAATTGGTTAAGTGACATTCCTTGGCTATCAATAGTCCTCTGAAAATGAAATCAATTGAAAGATATATTCAATCATAATCGCTCAACCAGCATACCATCTTCAGCAGATAGGATGATAGCACATAAGTAGTTAAATTAGCTAAGTTATTTTAATCGGTCGAATCCAGTCGGTGGACTCTATACGCATCATTTCAATCAGAAAATTTTCTTCTTAGGCGTTCATTATGTTTCAAGTTTTTCCACATTTTCAGAAAATATGCCTTAAATTGCAACTTATTCGTAGCTGAATCATTGCGGAAGTCTGTCTAAGATATAGCCGAATAATAATTCGGTTCGTTATATTCAATTATTTCATTTACAATATTAAAACCATACATGTGATATTGAAAACACTAATTCGATAGCAAAACTATGTTTAGAGATAGAACATTGCACTAGAGTTTAAGACATATCTGCATAAAAAAAAATGACAAATCAACCTCAACAAAGAAGTGAGAGAGTATCGAAAAAATGAACGAAATTGTTTTACTTTCATAAAAAGAAACTGTTTGCGAATGAGTTTTTGAACGGTTTTACCATGCGGATAGTTTGTTGGTTGTGAAAGTTAAACATCTTTCTTATGAAAAAATTATATTATCACCTATAGTCTATATTGGTTTTGTAAAGTACTAAGCTGTCTGTAAGATGAATCGGTCCATTCTTAGGAAAATGGTACAATCTATTGATCAAATTATTTTTTATTTATAAACTTAGAACAATCATATCTACACAGCCCAGAGATGTCTCATTTTTCAAAGAAATTTCTCCTGTATGTTTCAGAGTTTAATCACACAGAATATAAAACGAAAATGATTCGCCGCTGGCAGATGCATCTTCTTTCTATAGAGTATTTGATCAAAACTTTCACATGTGCATTGAAACGTGCTAGCTTCATAACGATGTTTCTGAGTGTAGTAGAAAGTATTTTAAAAACAAAGGAAGAATAATAATAATAAATCTTCTAACGGTTTTGAAGGTATAATATAACACAAAGTCTGAAACAGTATTTTCTTTTGTATTATTTTGCAATGAAGTCATATGGGTCATCATCCAAAAATCTGACTCCACAATGCTAATATAGACCAAAAATTTGAAGTTTAGCTTTTTACAGAAGAAGGTTTTAATTTTCATAAACAATATATAATTGACAATTATTCATGAAGAAGAGAAAACTCTTAAAGGTTTATTTTCAAACACTATTTCTTTTTAATGAAAATTATGTGAGTCCGTTCATCTTTTAGTGCTCTCTAAGCAACTCTATTTGATGCTTAGACTATTGTATTCCTAATTTTAAAATCTCATCATTCTCGGAGCACAAACAACTACAAAATTGAAAAACTACAAGCCGATACTACGTAGATGGCAATTCTTTGAAAATGTAGAATATATAATTGTGTACTCAATGGTATGTGTCTACTGTTTTCAGTCAGATCGTTTTAACAAAAAGTACAAAAACTAAAAATGTCTTGAAATCACAAAGAGCGGTCAAAAAGTGTTGTCATTTCGCTACATCTATTGAGAGATGACATTTCATCCATCTCTCTGCACCATGTATTCAAGGTAGTTGTTATGATATTCTTTGAGAACTTTCATCATTTTAACTTACTCCTGAAATACTTTTTCGACGTAAGCAAGAGATATTCAATTGATTCCTAAGCTGTTACACTTGATAGATTGTTGTATATGATGATTACCAGGTCTAACTTCAATAGTTTTTAACAATTAAGAATTGGGAAGCCTAATCTTGAATACACTTTGTGA